CGGAAAAACTGGCCGGGCCGGATCGGCCCAACTATTTCTCTTCAAAAAGTTGCAGGGCAAAACATGCGGTTCCCAGTCGGAAAAGCTAACGCGCAGCCCCCTCCCCACTGTAATCGCGCACCGCATTACTTTTATGTTTTAGTAAGTTTATATACCTAAAGTTGGTACACATCAGGTTTATACATAGTTTATACATCTAAAGTTTGTATACCCAAAGTTTATAAGTTAAAAGTTTATATACCCGGTTCGAATTCGAATTCGAATCTAGATTCAAATATATTTTTATATATAATATTTCTATACATAAAGTCTTTACGAAATTTCTTTATATATACTTATAACTATAAAGTTTATTCACATGAATATGTTTTCAAGTGTATTAGATTTCTTTTATATTTTTTAAATGGTTTGAAATTTATAGTGTGGTAGGAAGTGGAGAAAGGGGGAGATGTGTGCGTGTTAGGGGAGGGACGGGCGTGCTAATCGCCCAAGGCGATCACCCGTCCATTAGGCTTACCCGTTCCCAGTTCCTACTCAGACCTTTTCTAAAATATAAAAATAGTTTTTTTGGACTACAAAAGTTCTTTTTTTCTTTACAAGTATGGTAAATGCAAATGCTAACAACTTGCGCACACTGTTATAGAACCGGCCTAGAAATCACATCGATAACCGAACATGTAAAAAACATCATAGGAGATCCAAACACGATAATGACACTGAGGTACGATATTTGTTAACGAGATTTAATCGAAGCCTACAACCTAAGGGCGTTGATTACGAATGCTCCTCCCAGATCAAACATAATTATAACATATTAGAGTTATAAGGACCCTTGATTTGATGTCATCGGCAGCCGCTCCCTCTCACATATACTAAGTTGTAATGCGGTTTATAACAGATGTATCTCTCTATTTAAAAGAGAGCTTAGGATAGAGTCCAACTCTAACTTTACCTACACCTATTACAAACTCCTAGTCCTACATTGTAATCGACTACGTACACATATTCGATACAAACTCTAACATACACACACCTCCCTATAAATATACGCGTACACCCTATCACTATGAACACCTCAAAAAGACTGAATTGTCACATCTCAAGATCGGCAAAGTCATCAATGATGTTTCGGTGTTGATGAGTGTGCCGTCTATTACTGAAAGAATAATTAGCCGTAAATGCGAGCACCTCAAGTCTATAACTTGAACCGAATATATTGATTCCCCCACAAGTTATTTAACCAGTTGCTACGCTCACTTCAAAATAAACTTTTGATTACATGGCAAAGACATAGCACACCACTACACACGCTGAAAAGCAGAATAATTATACGGAGTACTACGACCTTTTATTTTGACTACAAAAAATACCCATACGTTACAACGTGTGAAGATTATTTTAATCTTATTATTGTTATATAATTTAGTTAAGGTGAAATTCACCGTGAGAATTCACTTGGATATATATATATATATATGTATATATATATATTTATATATGTATATATGTATATATGTATATGTGTATATATGTATATATATATATATATGTATATATGTATATATGTATATGTGTATATATGTATATATATATATATGTATATATGTATATGTGTGTATATATGTACATGTGTGTATATATATACATATATATATATATATAAGAAAATCATGAGCTACAGTTAGGAATCTGATCGTCTCAAGTTAGCATGTGGTATTTTTAAAGAGATTTTTTATATGACTCTTTTGTATTTTCCAAAAGTGAACAAACTTACAAACCATCTCAAATACGAATATGATTTTCAAAAGTGAACGAACTTAAAAACCGACTCATACACGGATGACGTACCAAAATACCGATAAAAACATCTTTAATTTTAATTTTTATAATAGTAGAGAGCAGACGCACCATTACACCCACTCACACGCTCACCACCCTAACATCTGTGTGTTTCCTTACTAAGCCATTTATTTTACATAAATTTTATAATAAGCTTTATAAAGAGATGAAAGTTATTATATTCCCCGTAAAAATGCTGACTCACTAATGTGTCTTGAAAATGACCATTGTATACAAAAGTTGTGCATGAAAAAGAGGGGACCACCTACAAATCGGGTGTCCGACGCTATTCCACCGAGTAGATCAAAATTGTTTCACTAAGTAGATCAAAAATGTTTCAATCGTTTAAAAAGCTGAAACACAACCAAATCACCTCATGAAACATTTTGCGACAACGTATGACACAACGGTTTTTGAAACTGTTTCACCATATAAAAAAACAATGTTTCAGCAAAATAATGGAATGATGTTTCAATTCACTGCAACATTTAATCTATACATAGTGAAACAACACGAGTGTACTTCCTGAAACAGTGTTTGATGGAACACAAAATGAAACGGATTCTCTTAATAGAACATTTTCATTCAAACACAAAATGAAACGGATTCTCTTAATAGAACATTTTCATATTGTTAGAGTGCGCAGCCCGGGCCACCAATCATGGGCCACCCAGGGTCACATTGGGCCTACTCCAACACAGGCCCAACCGGAGTCACAACTTTAGGTCCTAGGCCTATACAACCCAAAAGATTAGTCTGATGGGTGAGGACCACCCCACCTTTTAAGTTGTGCTCCCCCATCATCAATTACCGATGTGGGACTAAACCCAACAATCTCCCCCGTCGTTGATCACCCAAGACACGCCAGATGACGACACAGGAACACACGATATTTGTTAACGAGGTTCAGCCGAAGCTACATCCCCGGGGCTCTGGTTATGGGCGCTCCTCCCCAATCAATATAGCTCATAGCCGCTACGAGTCCATGGCCACACTGCCATCATCTCCCTGCGTGTCTACGCTACATTGTAGTCGCCATGGTTACATTGTGGTGCTCCCCTCTCTATTTAAGAGAGATGTCGGGTTATAGAGTCTGACTGTAACTCTACCCCTAACACCTATTTACAACTCCAAGTCTAACTATAACCAAATAAGACTGGTATATTCGACACCTATTCTAAAACGTGAGTTATTATTGCAACGGCACATGTGGTGGGGCGCGTGGTAAGGACGGCACGGAGGCGCGGGTAGCGCCCGACGCGGGGCATTTTCCAAAAAAGATGTCTAAGGATTACGCGAGACCGTGAGAGTGCGTACGTGCAAAATCAGGGCGGAATTTCTCTCCCGTGTCTGCCACGGCCACCGGTGCATTGCATATGCGCACACGAGGAGCAAAGCTCGCGACCTCGCGCGTTGCACTGCCGCACTGAACGATCGACGGACGACGGCAGCGCGCGGCCGGGCGTCGCGCGCTGTACCGCAGCGCGCACCGCACCAACTGAACTCTGCAAGGTGCAAGCAACTAGCGTACGGCGTAGCGTCGCGCTCGCGCGGCCGCGCCTCGCCTCGCGACGTACGCGCTTGCGAATTGAAAGCCTTCCTTTTCGTCCGTTCCCTGAGACCCTGACCCGCGCCCACCCACTCGCCAAGCGGGAGCGAGACGGAGCGGCGCCTGCACCCGCGCGCCCGCCAATGGCAGGGCGGCCACTCGTCGCGCGGCGTTGCTACCCGCTCGCCACGGCACGCAGCACATGCCGTGCATGCAAAAGGGTGGGTTCTTATAAAAAAAAAGAGAGAGTAAGAAACGGAGCTGTAGCGTCGGTCCAAAAGTTTGTTTCTCGAGCAGGGAGATCGAAGAGAGAAGCATTTGCCCTGCTGCTGCTCCGGCTGGCCGGTTTAAATTCGTGCTGCTGCATTCGGCCGGGTAGCTAGCCGGCCCGTGGTTGGGCTCCAGTAGGACACGCGACATGCATGCTCCACGTGTGACGCTTTGCCTGCTGTTTCGTGTACCGCAGCTGCATGTATGCGTAAAGTTTTTCTACTACTAGTTTATTTTTTATTGGGCGGACAGGTCGTCACAGTAGAGCATTTACCGTCGAGCCGCGTACTTTTTGGAACAGAAGAGTTAGATCCACAGTGTTTTACATATCCAGTCGATTTATGTTTGGGTTTGGGAAATTTCACCGGTGTAAAAAGCTTCTCACTTCATCGGGCACCGTCTTCTGTAAATTTTTTTCGATATGAACTTTGATAAATTTTGCTCCTCGTCCAGGCGAAGAAACTCCGGCTTTGGCTATAGGAAACGGATGGTGCATGCATCTAGTCCCGACGAGCGACGTAAGCAAGCGTTCGCCCGGTCTTGATGTGTGCCACGTGCTGGAGACCGTCGTCACCAGCTTTTAATTCATCGGAAAGATAGCAAAGCGTTTGTCGTCGTGGTTTACATTGCATCGTCTGGTTTCCCTCCGAGATTTTGTATGTACATGCATGTATAGTCTCGTAGACCATACATGACCAGCAAAACCACGTGCGGATATATCAACTTTTAGGCGGTTTTGTGCTGGCTGAAACAATATGTACCTCAGCTGAGAAGTAATCTCGAAAGCATGAGTACACCACCGGAGTCGGAGTGTACATGCATGCATGCACGGCAAGGTATGACCAAAAAGCAGTTTTGACGCAGATTGATCATTCGATCTGGTAGTGAAAAACAAAAAAAAAAAAAGGTAAAGTGGTGTGTCCCGGTGTCCGCCTATACGCTAAACTTACCGTGGTGCTAGAGTACAAGCGAGCCGGTTGGTGGAGGCGAGCGCAAAAGCGCCACACGGCCTTCTGCCAATGAGGCCTCACGCCGTCACGCGGGGCACGCCAGCCAGCCAGTGACCGCGGCGGAACGCGCCACGGGGGACGATGCGCCCGAGGGGGGCGGACGCCGCATGCAGCGCAACGCGAGTACGCGACCTCGCCTCACCTCACCCCACCATACGCCTCGCGCTGCTGGCTGGAATCCACCGGAGCGCGCGGCCCGCGACTCCGCTCCGCCTACGTGTCGGCCGCGTCCCCGCGCGGTCGCCCACGTACCCCGCCCCGCCCTCCCACGTGCCCCTCCCCCCTGCGCGCATCCGATTGGCCGCCCACGCCTTCTTAACCCCACCACCCCACCACTCGGGCCCCAACGCATCCGTTCACCACCTGCGAGAGCGAGCGTACCGTTCGTTCGTTCGTCCGGTGTACGTCTCGCCATGGCCATGGTGCAGCCGGTGGACATGGCCGTGAAGGCCAACGAGATCATGGCGAGGTTCAGGCCCATCGCGCCCAAGCCCGTGCTGCCGGCGGCGGCGGCGGGGGTGACGGGTGGTGGTGACGGTGCTGCGGCGGTGGCGGCGACGAACCGCGTGCTCTGCCAGCTGCAGAGCAGGCCGTGCCGGGCGCGGAAGCGGGGGCGGCCCAGCGTAGTGCCGCCGGTGTCCCCGCCGGCGGGGGCCAAGAGGAAGAGGGCGCCGGCGTACCCGGTCCCCGTGGCGCCGCTCCGGTGCGCGGCGGTGGCCACGGCGACGAGGGCGCGCGTGTCGGTGGTGGTCGTCCCGGCCCCGGAGAGTGCGGGCGGGGTTAGTGCGCTGGCGCCGGTGTCGCCGAGTGCCGGGGACTCGACGAGGCTCTCGCCGACGGTGGTGGAGGTGGAGGACGAGGACGAGGAGAGGGGCGTGGTGCTCGTGGAGCGCGACCTGCTGCGGAAGCTGCTGGAGCCGCGGAAGCTGCTGGAGCCGCGCGCGGTGCGCCCCGTGGGCTCCACCATCCACGTCGAGTCAGTCCACATCGACGTCGGCCGCACCACCGCCGCCGCCGCCGCAGCCGCCCCGAAGACGGCGGAGGAGGTGGAGGCGGAGCTGGAGTCGGACTCCCTCCCGGCGGTGGTCTCGGACTCCAGCAACCGCGTCCGGCTGGTGAACGACGCGTACAAGCGAATGGTGGGGCAGCCCGAGTGCCCGTGGCTCGACGCCGTGGCCACCGCCGCGTCCAGGAGGATCAGCGGCGAGGTGGCGCTGGTAGTGTCCGAGCCGGCGGCGGCGGCGGCGGCGCTGCCGGAGACATGCAAGGGGTTCTCGTGCTCGGCCAAGATCGCGTGGGAGCGCGACGGCAAGTGGTCATCCGTCCATGCACCGTGCGACGTCACCCGGCTGCAGTGCGAGTCGAGGGACTACGTCTTCGCCTGGAGGTTCCGCGCCGCCGGCGACGAATGCAACACCCACCGCCGCGCCGCCGGCGACGCGTGACGACGTGATGCATCAAGCCGGAGCAAACTTTAGTAGTGCATAGATGTAATCGTGTTAAGGTGCAATGTTACTAGTAGTAGCAAACTAGATCGGCTGCTTCCTCTTTTGCGAAGCTTATAGGATGCAAGGCCAGGTTCTAAAGTATATATGATGTTGACCGGAGAATGCAAGGGAAAATTGTAACTTTTGCTTTAGTGAGATTTGTTTGTTCTCATGTAGTTTAGCACTAATGATCCATTTGACAGCGACAAGTGATTGCGTCTGCATGCATGGACATCCCAGGATAGATGCATGCATGGACAACCCAGGTTAGACAAATGCGTGGTCGCAATCACATTATCCGTGTCGCGTTATCAAACAAAATAAAGAAAAACGTCTTCACTGTCGTGTTCCAAGAGTTGAGAGCAAACCAGGGCAGAACAACACTTAAGTTTTGCTTTAACAACCTAAGCAAACAGGTAAAGGATCTTTATGAAATGATGTGGAAGGATAATGGTAAACAATTTTAGTACACAGGAAATCATTCTATTTGATCACAGTGCACGCTTATTATAATTGAGAGTTGGTTGAGGAACGGTCTAAGCCCACACTCGCACAACAGATTGGAGAAACCAAAAACAACACATATGGGGGTAAACACCATCTTGTGCATGTCCTGCTAGCAATGTAGCATGCAAGATTAGTGCTCAGGCTTGCTCTGCCTTCGGGGGACCCCTCCACTTGAAGTTCTCTGCATAAGATTTGGCCTGCATGACAGAAAAACAATTGGTTAATTACAGGGAAGCTACTAACTTAATGCACAACAACCTGGACGGTATGTATTAAATTGGTCAAAAAATCTGGGAGAAGAGTGATATCCCCTTCGTCCCGCAGTATTTGTCCTTCAAATCCTTAGCAAAAAGGGTAGCAGAGATGGTTAATTACACCCTTGGCAGGATGTATGAAAGAATGCATGCACCCTGAAAAGGCTGCCAAAACAGTGGTCGCGTTGCATCCGTAAGCTTTAGGCACGTAAATTCAACTACTATGGTAGCCAGTGGTGACTAGCTTGTCCTCATCGGCTTGGTACTAACAAAAGATAGGAGTTGATGAGGATGAGGGACTCTCTGACTAGATCACATTCGATGTACTCCTACAGTTGATGCAAATTTTGGATTTTTCCCTATCAATCTTCTGACTTGCTAAGTTGTGATTAATGTGAATGCTCTATTGCTATCTACTTTCTAGAATGAAAGGAGTGCCTTTCGTTCAATTCAAAGTCACGGAGACAGAAAATTCGAAGGTCAACAAATCAGTCGAGTGCCACCATCATGTAGCAGAACACCCGTTCGATCAGGACCTCCCGTCGTCTCTCCCATTTGGGTCATTGGCATTCATTTCAACCCCTGCTCAAGTTGGTCCTTCAAACTAATCTGATTAATCCTTCCTCACACCCAATGTTAAAGCATCCCATCACATGATTCCACGTCTCCTCTTCTTGTCTTACACTTCCAAGATGGCACTCTCAACTTCCCTCCTACGTAGGCCTCCGCCCACTCCCTCAGTCTTAAAAGTATGCCACAGTTTCGTCCCTACAATCTTCTCACCAAGGGCACATTGTAATGCATTTGACATGATCTGCCCCGTCTACCATGTTTCATGTATCAGGTATGTGCTACATGCAAGCACATAAATAATAAGTATACTTATTTGCAATAAGCTACATAGCCTCATTTTATACAAAATGAGCTAATATGATTAGTATAGATGAAATTGTCTAAGTTTTTTTTTTCTATTCACTGGTGGCTTTTTCTTCACTTTGGCACTTGAACCACAATATCAACTATTTCCTGTGGGACTGTGAGGCTGTGACTACGTTATATCCACCAAAATGATGCAGACCACGTTCAACATCACATATTCCACCATCCAGAACACGGTATGTTGTTGAACAAAGTTAAAAAAGGGGCACTTAGTAGTAACTTGTAATGCATGAATTGACAAAATTATAAGGATGCAAGAATCAAAGCAACCAACTGGGTAGATATAAAAAAAATGCATCAACACAGTAAAATGGAAGATACGTAGGGAGGTGTACAGACCTTCAAAAGAGGTGTATGGCGTTTCCTAACCTGCAGGAAATAGACATTATGTGAGTAAAGAGTTCTAATTTCTTAAGAAATTTAGGAGGTGGATTCCAACAAATATAAAGGCTCGTGGTATGCCAATGAATACTGCACCATAGCCCCCCAAAAGCATTCCTACTGTCGAGAACATATTTTATACGCAAATAATATACGAGTTACAAATTGTTTGAAAAAGCTCTAGTTTGCCACAGAAATAAAATCAAAGTTCCATGTGTCCTAACTAAAATTACAAGTACAACAAAAATCGGGAACAACAGATTTACTCCTTGAGTTATACGAAGGATTTTTAGAGATTTTATTTTTCAAAATTGAAACATCGACAAGTGATTCTGAAGACAAAGATTTAAGGCAAATAACATTAAATCATATGGCACATTGGATGCAAGGCAATCTGAAAATAAAAGACCATGCACCCATAAATGGACCAAATTTCCTTCAGAAACCTGACCATCAGAATTCAGAACACTATAAAAGAACATTCCTTACTTTAACCTCTAAATTGTAAAGAATTAAGAATCAAATGATCCTATACATTCAAGAGAGAATATGCAATTAAATCCTGCTCCAATATATCCTAATATTTCAGAAATAAGTATAGCCTTATTTTTTAAACCTGATGTTAAGTATCAGGAATGGATAGACAGATAGTAAGAACTCACCACATAATCCCATCCATGCTTTTCAGCAAATGCCTTTGCTGAATCTGCACTGTCAAACGTAAGCCCTGCTTCACCAACATTAGCATATGGATCTCCAGTAGATGTCCATCCCATTAATGGGTTCTCCCACCTATTATTCACACAAATGTTAGAAGGGGAAAAAGCGGCAGCAACTGAAATAGTAATATCTAATTGTATGCTAGAATGCTATATAATAAGGAGGTGATACATAAAGCTAAATGAAGTAAATGCATGAGACATAAAAGAAATGAAATAGACTAAGTACACACTGTTTGACCAAACCAAGGTGACCACCTCAATGAGAGGTCAAATGCATCAGTTGCAAGGCTTTCATTGTACAAAAAAAAGGGGGGGTAATCTCACGTTAAAGGAAAAAAAGAAACAGACTTCAATCGTCAATGAATTCTTCTGTTATGAATGTAAATCAAGTTTTAATATGAGACTATTTGTTTTCATTTGATATATTATTGAGGCAGTTCACCAAACAGCAACACAGGGTTTGAGGTAAATAATTCATGAAAATGAATCAACAATAACCAATAAAACAAAACTGGAAACATACTTTTGGGTTGACACAAAGTTGATTTTCCACCTCCCGACTTTGCCTGAACCCTGCTGAGATGCAGTCCTAGCGGGTGAATATATTACAACCTGCAAATACACAAGGATAAGTTGATCATGTCTTCCCAGCTAGGTAGTTGAAAAGCATACAGTGAGTCTTAAAAGAACAAAAGTGGCAGCAACAAAAATCATATTTTCTTTACAGTATAAATATTTAAACCTATCTGAATAACACAATCCTGTCGTAGGCCATTTAGAAGGCCGTTTACTGTATAAACACTAAAAGGTGGGGGAGACCACTTGTTAACAGTCTAATGATCTACAAGAACATAGATCACAATCAAAATATTTTCTAGGGCTCACTCTGTATAATAAATCTGCAAAAACATAAGATCTATTGATGTGTAGGCATCCTCTCTCTGCAGACAAACATAAGGTTGATAATACCATGAAAAATGTGACTGAAGTGGTGCTATCAGCATTGGGCCATATCATAAGATGCTTCTAAGCTCTTTGAAGTTAAGACGGATCTTTGAAACAACAGAAGAATTGATCATCAAACAATATTCGTATTAACGAGATTATGTTGTAGAGAAAACTATTTCATGGAAGCTCTGTTCCTCAGAAGTCAGAACAAGAAACTACCACTCTACAAGTAGGCCTCTACATGGATTTTGAGGTAATTACAAGAACTATGAAATGGTATGAAACAGACATTAGTTCATAGTCCAACAAGTTATCTAAATTCAATAGCTAAGCATTGCTAGCAATTTCATCTTTCTTTGTATGCAGTTAGTTCTATCAAATGTATTTTTAAGTTTGATGTACACCAAGAAAATGGATAAATAATAAGCATCCTAGCATCATCTAAACTCTGGTATGTACAGTTCTCTAACACCAATACTGTCAACTCTAATCACAAACAATTTGAAAGGTAAGAACATACACCTATATACATTCAGTCATTCACAGTACATAAACCAAATCAGGATAATTTGATCAAACTCTGTTGCCTCCAGCCCTCCACTAACATAATCTAAAGTGGGAGAACCCAACCTGGAGAGCAGCACATTCCTCCCAAGTTCTAAACGCAGTTCAAACCACACAAGCGTAAAACATCATCACCAAATTCGCATTTCTATCCACTCCACGATTCGAACGTCTACTAGCGATAGCACTGTAGTCCGTACGACGAGTTCACGACCCGACGCCTCCAGGCTCTATGCCTCTATCCCTAAACACGAGTAACGACCAAAACAACCCACCAAACCTGGACATCTCGAGCGATTCCCACACGGATCCGCGAGGGCTAGCCAATCTATCGCCACTACATAAATCAGAGGTAAGGTCAGCGAAGCACCGCACCTTGCGGCGGAGGTGCTCCTCGGGGATGCCGGAGACCATGCCGATCTCGCCTGGCTTGATCTCGACGAGGGCGTCGGACGCCGCCGCGGAGAGCATCCGCGCGGGCGCGGGGGACGGCGAGAGGAGCGTGCGCCCCAGGGAGGGGAGGCTCCGCCGGAGCGGGGCGGCCATCTCGTCGGAGCCGTACGCCGGTGAGGCGGATGGTGGAGGAGAGAAGGGGCGGACGAGAAGGCCGAAGGGGAAACACCGAGAGAGAGAGAGAGAGAGCACTTCAGAACTTGGGAGAAGAGACGGCTGGACCGAGGATATGTTGGAAGCAGCTCATGTTGGGCCAATCTTCTCGGCCCAGTGTTGTGGGATCCGATTGGTTTATGGGCCGGGCCTTGCGGCCCAGACTGGTGCGAATTCGATTTGTTTCTGTGTGCTGGGCCCAGTTATGGTCCAGTGGGTGATCTGCAGCCTTGGAGTTGAAGGCCCATACCGAGGTTAGACTAGCTCGTTGGGTTTTGGTCCAGATGAACCACTGACTTATCTGGGCCGGCAATGTTATATTGGGCTGCCTCTGGAATAATTCTTGATGGCCCTTTTGATAATTTATAGAATTCATTTTTCAGTTCCGTTATTTCAACTACACCGTGATGAAGTTCATCAAGAGCATAATCACCCATAATAAGTGTATTCAGATAATTTAATACACCATTTGGTCGTGAATATTTGATGGTTAGGCCGGACAATATTTGGATGGCAAATTTTACTACAAAACATCTAAATTTCGTGTAATTTGCTGATAGACATCGAAAAAACATTCACAAATGAAAGACATCTAAAAATACTAGTAATTTGTTAGAGAACAATATCGACTCAATTAAAAAGATAAATTCTTGAGAAAGACAAGAATGCCCCTAGAATCACATGCTTCAAACATAACGTTAAAGTACGAATTTAGAAATTATGCAACTCCAAATTTAGCATCACCCCAAGTACATCACTAGTATACGTGATATTTTATCTTCACCCTAGTCTCAGTTCAAAATCTTTTGACCGTGGGGGCATCCTTGTCTTTTTTAAGAACTTTTCTTTTCAATTGAGCCGAAAGTGTCATTTAGCAAATTATCAGTTTTTTAAGAGTGTCTTTCAGCCGTGACACGTTTTTATGATTTCTATCAACAAACACAAATTTTGAGTGTCCTATAGTTAACTTTACCTATTTGGATCTTACTTTTGAAACTTTAACTATCAATAGTCTTTGAAATGCTTAGTTTAAAAACAAAAGACTTGGTAGTATCAATGTTTTATGCCCATAATATAGACTAATTAAATTTTATAAACTTAATACTAATTGGCCGAAACTTGTTTTAAACGTTAACTATCTAGAAAACGAGGGAGTAAGTCTTTTGTATTTCGCCTAAGAATGAAAAGTGATTAACATTGTGTAGGAGGACAAATACGTATGACTATGATCACATGAAGTTCTGAAAAAAAAAAGATCACATGAAAATGCAAGATTACATCTCTAAATCATTTTCAATATCGATGCCAAAGAAATCCACAAATAAGTCCACCTGAATATAGTATAAATACAAACGATATTCCTATCTTGGATCTTTTTCCTAGTTCTAGAACAGTACATTTTATTTAACAAGCAATAGCTGACGTGTAACACTCTTATAAGGTCACGTTAATCCACTATTTTTTCCCACGATCATAGAGGAAATCATGCACAACCCTAAAACTCTCAATCCCTGTCCTCATTCATATACAGTAAGATTTTTTTTTCCAGAGAGTACAAAATGCAGGGGAGAGAGGGATGCGGGCACGGGTGATGATGCCGAACTGGCCGAGGCCGCCGATCAAGGACGGCGAAGAAGAGGTCGGGGTCGGCGGAGGGAAGAAGAGGGAGAACCGAGAGAGGAGAGAGAATGACATGTGAGGCCCACGTGGGCCCCACTATTTTAAAAATATTTTTGTGTGTAGCTCACATGTGGGAAACGATTTTTATTATTTTCCGAGATATAATTGCCAGGTAAGCGCTACGTCAATGTCATGTGGGATGGAGACCTAGTCAAACCAGCCACGTTAGGCCCACGTCAGCCAAAACCGCCTTCCAAACCACTGAGAGACCTCATTTGCACCGGTTTTGACAGTTTAAGGACTGGTTGTATCTGGTTTTAGGGTTCAAGAACGAAAAACGGAATCGGTGTAAAATTAAGAGACCTCAGATAAACTTATTCCTTCGATAAATTATAGACTTCATTTTTCAGTTCCGTTATATCAACTACCCTGTGATGAAGTTCATCAAGAGCATAACCACCCATAATAAGTGTATTCAGATAATTTAATACACCATTTGGTATTGAATATTTGATGTTTAGGAAAATATTTGGATCTTATTTTGAAACTTTAACTATCAATAGTTTCGCATGCTTAGTTTAAAAACAAAAGAATTAGAAGTATAAGTGTATTCTGCTTATAATATAGACTAATTAAATTTTATAAACTTATACTAGTTGATCGAAACTTGTTTTAAACGTTAAATATCTACAAAACGAGGGAGTAAATCTCTAGTATTTCGCCTAAAAATGAAAGGTGATTAACATTGTGTAGGACAAATACGTATGACTATGATCACATGAAAATGCAATATGACATCTCTAAATCACTTTCAACATTGATGCCAACGAAATCCACAAATAAGTCCACCTGAATACAGTAATAAATACAAACGGTATTCCTATCTTGGATCTTTTTCCTAGTTCTAGAACAGTGCATTTTATTTAACAAGCAACAGCTGACGTGTAACACTCTTCTAAGGTCACGTTAATCCACTATTTATTTTTCCACGATCATCGAGGAAATCATGCACAACCCTAAAATCTCAATCCCTGTCCTCATTCATATCCAGTAAGATTTTTTCCAGAAAGTACAAAATGTGGATTTTAATGTACGTGCTCACGTAGAAAAATACATAAAAGTCTTCTTTGTTTGCGTTCTATTAGAAAAACATTACGATAACGACTTTTTTTTATTGGATAGTTGCGGTGCATTATGACATTCTGCTATGAAAGCATGGTCGTAATGATAGTCATGGATGAGCAAGTGACAGCAACATCCTGCGTTAATTTTCTGCACGCATGGTTAGACACAATCCATCCAGAAGGTTTGAAATTAATCGAGAGCTTAATTAGATTCACATGTTAATTTAACTGGCGTGGCAGCTTATCCTTGTCAGGCGCCGGCCGGCGGCTAACTCAGTAATACTGATGATTAATCAATTTTCAAGTCGTACATAAATTTCTTTTTTAAAAAAAAAAACAGAGTTCAAGCCGTATATAGCTGACGCAACTGTCTGTTGATTCGTCAGTGAATTGGTTAATAAAATAATATAGTACTTAGCTGATCTTTGGCTGATTTTTTTTACAATAAATTTTGAAGAGATTTATCATACTCCGTAAACTGTGTGAATTGTGGTGATGTTGAATGATAATCAATTGTTTTCAGCCAGGTAACGATGATCAATTGTGACATTGCTAGTGAAGTACTATACTATATAATAACTGTCTCGCTGATGTCAGTGATGAACTTGATAAGAATTAGCAGGAGTAACTAACTAACTAGTAGGAATTGGCGATGAATTAACTTGATTGTACTGTACGTGAGGTACGTGATGCACGTCGTCATATCTATCTGCCGTGTTCTTGACCACTTCCGTCGAACATTCTTCTTCAGATAAAGCAGATAGAGATACTAGAATGCCACAGGTCTTTAGCCCGTTGAGTCAAGCAAATTAAATGATTACGAACTAACGTAGTAATTAACTGCACCCAAAAACAAGATCAGCTCCCCTGCCATTAACTAAAACTGGTTAAACTAATTACAGTAGGCTACCGGATTGATTTCAAATATTATGGCTGTTCTTCTTCAGGTTAAAATTTACATAGTTAGTTTTTCAAAAAAGAAATAATAGACATTTATAATTTAAGTTTGACTTATACCTGCACTCGAAACTTTGACTCGTTTTCAGATGAATTAATCACGCAGCCTTTTGAGTTTTGATCCATTCAACTGTTCAAGGTTATCTGCGCGGCGCGAGCGATAAGGGCTTTCAGAATTCAGAGTCCACGCCTTGCCCAGCAATCAAATATTACCGCGGGCCAGAAGCTCTCACGCTCGCGAGAAATCAACGCTGCAAAACGCGATGACATCATGATCTGGCAGAAAAATGCAGGCAATCATCATCTCCAAAACCACGAAACGAGAGAAACCGATGACGTCGAAAAACCAATCTCAGCGCCGTTAGCTCGTGAAACCAACGTGATTACCCGAAACCTGCAGCAAAAAAATCGTGCTGCAGAAACGTTGTTTTCTCTTTTTTTTTTCAAGAAAAGGAATAATAGATGCAGGAACTGTAATGATCCGATCCCATTTGATATGGTCAACCAATTAACCAGCATCTTAGAGCTAATCTGATCCGAGCTGCACATAATCAGATCGATTCTGTGCTCGAGCTGAGCTCGATATACAATCCGGCGCAGATCGTGAGCTCGAACCGAGCTCGATCGACGGGTAACTGTCATTGTCGGTAGCTAGCTTGATGCAGAATCACAAGAGTAAATTAATAGTAAGATTTTAGTTATCATCACATACTAAAAAGCTAGTACCGGCCAAATTGCTCTCGGCAGATTCCTCTGCATTTTGTTACTCGCACAACTCCACCGGGTCAATCGTGGCAAGCAAGGCACGAAATTAATTTTCTTTTACAAAACTGAACAGTAGTATCTTTCTGAACGAAATTGAATACATATTTCTTTCAGACATCCATACTTGACCAAGCACACGCATAGGCAGGCAGCAATCACGCGCCAACATCTGAAGATCAAGTCTTTGCTCCAGAAAGAAAAACACACAAAAAAAATAATAATAACACGTACTAGAAGAAGAGCAGGTCGTCGCGGAGACCCAAGAAATAAACGAGTCGGGACAGAAACAGAGGCGATCGCGTTGCGTTGCGTTGCGTTGGCAAATCCTCTTTAAAAGGCTCGTGCCCGTGGCGCCAGAAATCGTTGATCCGCACACGGTAATATGCAAGAGATGTTGTTCTGCGGCACGGGCAGTTTCAAGGACGTCGACGGCAAGGCGGCGGCGCCGGAGGCGAAGAAGAAGAAGCAGGGCGGCGGTGGTGGTGGTGGGAAGAAGGAGAACCCGTACGCGTCGAGGGGGCTCGACAAGTTCTCCACCGTGCTGTCCGAGCTCGAGTCGCGGCGGGAGAAGATCCTTCGCCAAGTCGGCGGCGCCGGCGGCGGCGGCGCACCGGGGGAGGGCGGCGGCGGTGGTGGTGGTGAGCATGTGCTCGTCCGGTTCGTGCAGTCGGAGGGGAAAGGGTGGGTGCCCATCGTCGTCAAGCTCCCGCCTGAGGAGGAGGAGCAGCAGCAGCGGAAGGGAGGGAAGAACAAGCGGAAGCAGCAGGCGGCCGCGACGTCGGCGACCTCGTCGCAGTCGTCCACGCCACCGACGTCGGAGCCCGCCAGCCCCAGGGAGGACGTGATCAAGCCCGCGCGCCCCGCCGCCGCCGCGGCGGCGGCGGAGCCGGGGAGTGCGAAGCGGAAGGCCGGCGTGAGGTGGTCGTGGTCGGACGTGCGGCCGCGCCACTACATGCCGTTCGTGGCGGTGCTGCTGCTGGCGAGCCTCGTGGTGTTCGGCAAGGTGTTCGCCATCTGCTGCACCTCCGTCTGGTGGTACCTCGTGCCGATCCTGACGGCCAGCTCTAATGGCGCCGGCGGCGCCGGCGGGGCGCACGGCGTGAGGAGATCGAAGGCCGCCGTCAAGGTTCTCGGCAAGAAGGCGAGCGACAAGAAGATGGCCGTGACGCCATTGCTGGGTCCTTCGCACGGCAAGAGGGGTAGCTCCGGTGTCCATGAGTTGATCTCGCCGAGAAGTCATCCACATGGGAAGAAAGGGTAGTAATTCGCGTGGATTCATTCACCACACGCTGTGAAAAAATCAACGCCGTGTTTGTAAATGTTTGTACAGTAGGGTGGCCAGGAAGATCAGATTTTTTTTGTTATCTTTCCTACCGTTTCGATTCAGTTTGGTTGCAATTGCATCCAGTGTTCATGTAGCATCAGCCCCCTTCTTGTGTGGCTACCCAAAATTGTTCATAAATTTTACAGAATTTTGTCCATTAACTCGTCCCTGGTGTACTGGCAGTTTATTTTCATCTCTATGTATGTTAACTATGCCTTCGACTTCTGGATCTCTGGTTGATTTGAGAGAGCGCCATTCGTTTATACGTTGTGGAAACATGTTTTTTTTTTTTGGCTCTATCCGTTGACCTTGTTTTTAGGTACAATCATCAGTAAAGAACTTCTAGATTCAGGCATGTGATTGTGTAGCCACGCATATCACAATGAATAGAAAGTCAAGCATGTTTACTTCTAGAAGTTAGAGAACTTACTTGTTTGACAATCCAGAAGAAAATGCAATTGTACCTGCCTCGTCAATGTCAATTCACATTATCTGACTTTTAACCAATACAAACAGTTATGCTTAGAATTTGCAGGCTTAGGCTGATCTTAGCCATTGCAATTTCTCATTCAGCAAAATTGTGAGTTTGTGATTGAACAATGAATGAGCATACATTGAGATGCCAACAGTGCAAATTCTTTTACAAATCACAAGCAAGACTGTGTTGTGATGATCTCTGGGAATCAACCAGGACATAGGCTAATAGTAATAACTACGCAATACCTAATTCAGAAAGACTTTACTGTTAGACTAATGATGAAACAACAGAATGATACAGTACAATCATTTTCCCTGTCCTTGGAACCAAGTAATCCCACCATCATGCCATGCCCTATATCCATCAATCCTGAATCATAAGGGAAATAATAGATGTTAGAAAATGTTACAAAGAGAATGGTAAAAATGAAGTAAGCAATACAGCATTCGGGCCAAGAGGAACAAATATATACAATTATCAATACAGCCACAGGCAAATCATCCATGATAACTAAATGGGATGCGGTTGATATTGCATTCTATGCTCCCAGCCGTTCAGCACTATTAAACCCCCGGCAAGATGAAAATATGCATCAGGATGCACCCAATGAAGATGAATGCACATCACATCACAAATACTTATATTAGAAAGATTTGATATGTTGTCCTACCCTAAATCTCTTTCTATGATCTGACTCAATTCGCGATGTGTAATGTTTCTTCCTTCCATGAGCCGATGAATTTCTCTCTTCTAAATTGCTGCGAACAGGCTCGTATTGTGCATTGCGGAAGAAACCTTCATGATCCCAAGTTACTTCATAGTCTACCTTCAACCGTGATCCTTCCTTCAAACAGAATAGATGAGTCAGCTTCCATTATGTTTTCTAAAACATAAAACATAAATGATAACAAGACATTAATTGAGGCTGTTCTGGCATATATAGTATACATATGTGGATTTATCCATGTGTAACAAATTTATGCAGCTTAAACTTAAGTTGTGGTGCCAAGGTAGTGAATATGAGATAGTATATATCAGTCATCACTCATCAGAGCTGTATGTGGAAGGAAAGCAACAAATCCTACCAACAATTGTGGTCCTCAATCCTCATAGAAGCTGATGCACTTCTAATAATTTCTAATACCTGTAAGTATCTAATACCTTAGTAATTTTGTAGTCCTCTTGTCTAGCTAATTTAGTAATGATCTCTCTAGTTAGTAAACACTAATGTGGTCACTTTGCTTTCAATAAACATAGCCATTTATCTGACCATGGAATGTTTATCGGCAGGGTTCACCAAACAAGGAAGCAACCAGATAACCATAAGCTAACGCATGAAGGTACTGCCTGGCACTCTAAAAGTGGGTTCAACCCAACCCAACCCATCCCATCCCTTGAAACAAACACACGCTGATAGAGGGTGATGGTTAACTTCAGTGGAAGATAGTGATGTGATATCCTGCTAACTTTATTGGAAGACTCAGAACGCTTGGATGTATTTGAAAAGGCCAACAGGACAAAATATATAGGATACAAGAAACACAATCCTACACTACCACAAATACCTCTAGCATACAAGTTCACACATCAGAAGGGCATGTGAAGGTCTGAAGGATGTGTGCTATGCAACGTCAGTGCATGATAATTGCCAGTAGGTAATGCTAAAACAGAGCTGCACAGTTGAAACAAAAAACCTATATAGAAGGAAACCAGAAAGGAAAATCTAGAGGATATTGACTTCAAAAAAAAAATCTAGAGGGTATGCTCACAATATCATTTATATGTGTTATGTGAACTAATAAAAAGTTAAGGATTGAGAGATAACTGGTAACAGAATATGAAAATCTTACTTTTTCTAATGAACGTCCACATAATGCCTGCATTGCACTGTTGAAATCGTCGTAGTTCTCAAATTGCACCCACACTTTGCAATTTAGTCCAGATATAATCTCCTTATTGGTTCCGTCTTGTTTTGCTCCCCATTCATCATCACTAGAAATATTAAGGTTCCTGAAAATTGGCAGAAGAATGCCAAAGAAAAGGGTATGCGGAGTAAGTTCCCCAAAATGTGAAGGGCAGTTCATAACCTGCAGAATTTAAAAGAAATTGGGTGCAGTGTTATTTAAAGAAGTCACATGTATACAATAGACATTACTCCATTATTGTGCTTGATGCACTAGGGTTATGTCGTATGTTGTTTTGTGTGACATGGATTTTATGCGTGCAATATCTAATACTACTAAAGAAATTTATTTTACCCATGTTACTTCCCAAGCTTCTTTATTATGAATTTTGAACATAGCTAACACATTCACCTAAGCTACCACACTAACATCAGAAACTGTATGAACTGGTTTTTGCTGAGTTTAATTGCTATCTTGGAGAATCAGATCATAGATTTCAAAATATAAGAAGCGATATGAGTGAGAAGAAACTTATATGTGGATGAAAACCAACTAGACAGGGCAGACCTTCAGGTTTCAGGTGGTGCTAATTTTAATGCGCATATTAAGCTCTCAAAAGGTGTGTATACCGGAATGGGAAGGCAAGTAAGAACAAAATATGAGTCCACAAACAAAATAGGAAACCACCAGGATGGACATTGAACAAAACTGAATCAAACAATTTCCTTATGGATGCTCATGTCAACTAAGTTTAGGACTCTTTTCGCTTTTATTAGCTTACGTCCGGCACTAATATTCTGCCTTGTATCCCAGAGATATGAATGCATTTACAATATAATGAACCAAACAGAAGTTGAGAACACCAAAATGCACCTTATTTTACCAAGTGCCGAGAAAATAGTGTGTGTGACCAGCGTGGAGGCTTTCGATGATATCCTCGTCTCCGCAAACCACCTGGATGGCACACCCCGGACAAGAATGGTGTCTGGCCTTTTCGCTATCTTCCTCACAGGATTCCCTGAGCAAAGCAAACATCAATTCAAACTCCACCTAGCAAGAATCACAACTAAGAGCAGCATTTTCATTTAAAAAAATGAATCCCATACTGCTACTGAGGAGCTCGGAGGCGTAGAAATTCTCCCAAGACTTCTTCATTGCCCTGAAGTCATCGGAGGGCGGGATCTCGACGCTCATCCGAAACTTAACCCCCTCGAGGTTGAGCTCGATCCCGGCCAGCTTCTCGACCAGGGAGCTCCTCCACTGGAAGTACTTCTCCTCCTCCTGCTCACGGGTCATCTCCTCGGCCTCCTCCTCCTCATCATCCCCGTTGCGGCGGCGTGGGCGGAGGAAGGAGAGGTCGCGGACGTGGAGGACGCCCGAGGCGACGGGCTCGTCGCGGCGGCGCTTATGCAGGTCGGGGAGGGTGCGCACGGAGAGGTCGGAGTCGGGGAGGACGGGGAGGGAGAGGGGCGGGTCGCGGAGGAAGGCGAGGAGCGCGGTCTTGAGCTGCCACTCGTCGACGGGGCGGACGGAGAGGTCGGCGCGGAAGAAGGTGAGGAGCAGCTTGAGGCGCGGCGCGAGGGAGAGGCCGCTCGGGAGGGGGAGCGGCTCGGTCGGCCGGAGGGCGGCGGCGGCGGCGGACATGGCGGCGCGGTGGTGGGGAGAGAGACGGCGGGATGGCGGCGGACCGGCGGCGGGTTGGACTCGACGGGTTGCAGATGGGCCGGGTGAATGGACAATGGAGAACCGGAGGCGAGAGAACTGTTGCTTCACGCGTTGAGGGCCGTCCGATGGGAGATCAACGGGTGATCGTAATTCAACTATCGCCTATCGGCCTATGGCGCGGATGTGTTGTTAGAGAAAAGGATTATGTCGAGATTATGTTCACGTCATGTTCATACGGACTAGCGCCGATTTGAACATGCAATTTCGCACGAAATTCATACATACGTGCAATATGGGATTCCGAGCATAAGAAAATCATAATTCGAGTTCAAAGTTCGAACACAACTCCACATCGAAGACAATAGATCTTACTATCATCAAATGATTCGTATAAGATTCAATGCTAAGGGAACTATTCTAAATAAAATTTTAAGGGGATATTCACTCGTTGTTTGCAGCTACTCAAATGGTTATAAAGAAATAAAATAAAAAATCGACGAGATAGATTAATATATGATATATCAATCCACAAACATACAAGTTAAATTTAACTTCTACATATCGCAATTTAAAAAAACAAATTTAATTGTCAATATACGTTAACTAGCTGTAGTTTTTTTTGCAACTTTTAGAAGTTGATTTTTAGCTTGCATGTTTGTAAAGTGATATATCACATGCAAACAACAAGGAACATCCCTTTAAGAGTTTAAAATCTACTCTCTTCAATACTCTGTATTTATGTTGCAACACCTTATTCTCTCTTACTATAAAGTTATAACCCACTAACTCTTAAAGCTTAACATGCAAAGATGCTACATCATCGTCGACTAACAGTTATTACATTTAAATATCATGCAAACATGCTATATTATCTATAATTTTATAATTTATTAAATTTTAGAGCTTTAAAATACAAGCATGTTAAATCATCATCTCACATAATTTAAATAATATGTTAATATATATCTTCATTATTTTTAATAATATCTTATATACCTATATAGTTCATCCTCAATTAGTTAATGATATTTTTATCTTCTCTCATTAAGCCATATCACATCAATTGTTTTTTTTTGTGCTTAAATGATTTATTAAATTTTAGAGCTTTAAAATGCAAGCATGTTAAATCATCATCTCACATAATTCACATAATATTTCAATATATATCTTCATTATTTTTAAAAATATCTTATGTGCCTATATAGTTCATCCTCAATTAGTTAATAATATTTCTCTCTTCTCTCATCAAGCCATACCACATCAATTTTTTTTTGCTTAAATGATTAATATATGGTCAAATTATCTCCACATTTTCTTCTTTCATTAAGCTATATCACCTCAATTGCTTTTAGGTCTTAGATGATTAATCTATGATTCAAACTGTCTCCCTACTTTTCTTCTCTAGTAAAGTCGTATCACTTTACTTTTATATTTGAATCATTATTTTATATACCATTTAAATTTAAATTATCATAAACTACGTTAACATACTCTTATGTTGTGTAGCTATTTTATATATTATTTTTACTTATTGTTATCATAATAAACTACTGCAGCAACGCGCGAGGTTTCACCTAGTATATGAGATGTTAGCTCTCAAAAAATGAATATGGGCTGGATTTGAGATCCTACTGGAGATGCAATTATAACTTGCAAGTCAATGTAGCGATAAAATTCTAAAAAATGCGCTAATTAGACACAAATCACCCTTTGTAAGACCCTCTTTCGCTGAAAAAAAGTTCTGAGTGTACATGTCGCATTTCCACTTGTGATTTTTTTCAAAACGCTCAGTGATATCACTTTAACTTAGAACTATTGTACCATATTTTATCCCCAAATTTCATTCGAGTGACATATAGCAATCCCGTTTGCTTTATTACCAATCTGCACGTGAAGTGCTATGCAACAGCCTTGCATTGCACCGGGAAAACAGTAGAGCTCATCGCCCTCCGCCGCCCCGGCGGCACGCCTGCCTGAGCGGCACCGGCGGGTCGGAGAGCTTGCCGCCGACGATCAGCTCGAAGACGAACCTGTTCGCCGCCTCCGTGAAGTGCACCCCGTCCCAGCTCACGCTCCTCGACGGGTCGTCGCACGACTTCCCCGCCAGCACCGACGTGCCGTTCACCTCCACCTTCCCGCCGCACCGGATGTCCCTGTCGAAGTTGTACTCGCCGCCGCCGTACCCGCAGCACACCAGCAGCGGGTCCCCGAATCCTGCAACGAACAATACCCACCAATTTTTCAATCCTGCGGCGATTTCAAGTGTTTCTTCTCCGGCTCCGGTGGTCAGATCAACGTACGTACCGAGCTGCTTGGCCTGGCTGATGAGCCTGTACTTGGCGGAGTAGACGTCGACGTAGGTGAGCGCGGCGTCCGGGAGCGCCGCCCTTAGCCGGTCCACGGTCTCGCGCAGCCTCGCGTTGAAGAACCGGGCGGCCGCGTTGTAGGCGACGGAGCAGCCGGCGTCGTCCCTCGGCGCGGCGAGCTTCGGCAGGAGCACCACCGCGTACGTCAGGCAGCCGAGCGGCGCCGTGTTGTGCACCCAGAAGTACCTCCCTCCGAGGCTGTACACTTTCTGCACTCACCAAGCAAGCAGAGCACGTACAGTACACATGAGCAGTCCTATCGTTTTATTCGAACGGCATATTTACAAAAGAAAAATAATTTATAAATAAATTTTTTATATACATCTTCTTGGCAATATAAAAGTATAGGTCGAAAATTAAACTTTGCGATAGAAAAGTATAGGTCGAAAATTAAACTTTGATAAAAAAAATCTTAAAATTAGCTTTAAATATAAGGTTGAAAATTCAGAATTTGACTGATAAGTATAAACATAAGCGAAACAATAAGGCCGCTGATCATCTGATAAGCCGTGGAAAAATAAACAAAACAAGCAAAGATTATTTCAATACAAAACATTTATATCTCTGTTATTAGTGTTTTAAAAGCAAATGCTAGAAAAAAAACTACGATGAAAAGATCCTAAAATCATCTCGAAAATTAAGTTCTAAGAAGATTCAAAATTTCTTAGTTTGTCAATCAGTCAATGAACCTAAGTGTACTGTAACTAGGCTGTGATCACTGCATTGAGCTGCACCTGGATGGCTGCACTGAACCTCTCCATGAGATCAGGGACGTAGGCCTCGACCTGCTCAGTGCTCATGTTGTCGAAGTAGCCCATTGTCAGGTCGTTCTGGCCAATGTCGAACGTGTAGAGCGCCCTGGAGAAGTACTCAGCTTTCGGAAGAATCTCCCTGTAAATTCCACCTGCACGAAAACAGAGTATATATCAACTTCACAAAAAAAATGGAACTGAATTTTGAGCTCTGAATGGCGCATATGCAGAGGCTGATCGAATTTGTCTTCACCTATGTTGCTATAAACGAACTGGCTTCTGTTGATGAACTGTTCGAATTGGCTGGTCTGCACGTCCAGGGAGATCGGGCTGATGCCGGAGACGAAGATGCTGCCATTCGCTGGTCTGATCGACGCAGCGGCCGTCGCGAAATTGGCACCTTGACTGAAGTTACTCCCAACTGAATCGAGGTATGCACTGAGGTAACGAATCCCCAGGCTCTGAGCTGCAGCGTCAGGAAACCAAAAAAAAAAACACAGTAGATTCAGAGTTCGTTCCGAGTAATTGGGACGCACTGAGTATTACTGACCCATGAAGTCGATGGTGAGGCGGCCGTCGCTGAACCGGCCGGCGGGCATGCCGAAGTAGGTCCGGCCGAACGGCGGCGGCACCACGGCGATGAGGGCCGAGAGCCCGCCGGTGTCCGAGTTGGAGTCGCCGAAGTTGAAGATCGCCGGGAAATCGCATGGCGCGTCGCTGCCGCCGTCGGAGCTTGCCCCCTCGGAGAGTTGCAGCAGGAGCACGACGAGGAGCAACACGAGCTTGGCGGTGGTCGGAGGAGCGGCGGTGCAGCGGCGGCGACGTCGTGAAGGCGCCATTTTTTCTTTCCACCTTGCTCGATCGTAGTGTGTGTGTGTGAGACTTGTGCACTTGATTATTCGGAGCTAGCGCTGATGTTTCATGTTTCATAGGGGAGGTATGTGTGTACGTGTCGAACCAACGAGTCACACGTCCACGAAGCGTTCGAAGTCCCTGTCCATTCTTTCTCAAGATTTTTCTAGGTTTGGGTGTTGTTTGTATTCAGAATTCACACATTGTCTCAGGTTTGCATCAGGACTGGTACAATGGGGACAAGAGTTTGTGACTTTTTCTGGAAGTCTGATTGGTTTCTCCTTGTTTGTTGCACGTGGCGTGAGGATGACTTATCTACACTTTTCTAAAGTAACTTATTCTCTCTTTTGTTTTCCACGTGTACGCTTTCTAAACTGTTAAACGATATATTTTTTAAAAAAATACATAAAAGTTGTTTAAAAAATTATATCAACTAGAAAGTTAGCCCGCACATATGCGCGGACACCTATTTAATGTGTTTGTGATAATACAAATGTTTATATGTGAGTGACTTTTTACTGAAATATTTTTTACTCAATTCTAAATCTGTTCTTTTTTTGCCAACAATTCATTTTGGATTGCTTTGAATGCTAGTTTTGATTCCCTTCTAATTACCCTTAAAGCAAATAAAGTCTAAACTAAAATTACTTGAAAATATGAATTTATAAAAGAATATTGTGTCATAAGAATGGAGTTGGTTACCATGAAATTATATATCATTTGTATTATGTGTATTTACTTTTTAAAATATTTAGCACATCTTATTTTTGGATTTTCTAAACTTTAATTAAGGTAAAATTTTATTATGCTATATATGTCTTTATAGATTTTAGGGCATATTAATTGAAGATATTTTCTATTAAAAATATGGCTAAGAGACTATTTTATCTAACTATAGATATACCTCTATTTACCTCTACTTTCTCCGTCTCATAATTCCAAGGATTCAAATCATATCCCAAAATATAAAGGTTGTAAAGTACTAACTGTCCCATCGAACCACCCCTCATTTATTTTGTTCCTAATCTTACTTCAACCATCTTTATTTTTTATCCAATTTTATCTCAACCGCCTTCCCTATCTCTATGTATCCTTTATTTAATGAGAGTTGTCATAGTTTTTTTTCCTCCCCTTAATTCCTCCTAAAATAGTATGATCCCTTACATTATAGGATAAAGATGATACAAAGTATGCACCATTTATAGATGGATTTGTTTGGTTTGTTTGTGCCTATGTAGATTAATTTAGCCTTGCATGTTTATAATAATGTGGATACATGAACTATTGATTTAGTTGTAGCGACATAATATTTTACTGATATTTGAACTATCCAAAAGCAAGGGTTTAAATATGGTTATTTAAAGATCGATCAAATATTTAGCAAGTATGCTCATGAATTTAGGGTGGTCAATGTGCACACAAATTGTGCTGCCCGCGCATATGGACATGTGAAAAAACAGGGTCAGGTGCTCTACGCAAATTAGTTAACATTCCCTACCTTCCAACAATGCAAATTTGTTTAAAATATGGGTCATTAATTTAAATAAAAAATTTTAAGAGCTGTATGCTTTCAAATTAATTTCATTAGCTAGCTATTCTCATGTTATCACTTTTTCTTCAATCTTAGAGTTATAACAGTAAAGGAAATCTGGATGTAATACTTTATAAAGATAAGCTATAATAATCTTCAAAATACCACGGGAAGAAAAACATGCCAAATTAATTGGCTTGGTGAATAAGATAATATACCTTCGTCCCGAAGATCAAAATTTCAAAAGTACCATTGTTATGGGAACAAATAACTTAAAATATGCATAAACATCTTCAGAAAACCTGTAATGTTATGAGGAGGTGATTATTAGTTTAACATCAAAGAGAAAAGTAAAAAAGAATGTGAAAAAACTATACTGAACCATATTAAATTAATTAATATTTTTTTATAATTGTATAGCTGCAAAAACGATTATGATCTTTGTTGCAAAAATATGTCATTAATGAAGGATATTGGTATTGTATCCTCTCTGCAAAACTTATGTCGCATCTACAAATCACCTAAGGAGAAGAAATATGGAATTTGCTTTTAGATGGATGATGGGATGGTGTCTCGCTAAGCATTGTGAGGCTGAGTTTAATTTTCACATGAAGCTTCCTGCTCAATTAACGGATGCAGACCGATGCCACGCTTGACTGCTTACCGGCCTCATCTTTTTCTTAAGCATCTTATTAGCCAAAATTTGAATTTTTAATCTTAAATTTGGAGTTGATTTTGGGGTTTTTTTCATCTAAATTTATTTTTCAGCTTTTGCTTTTAAATCACTAAGAACACGTATATAAAAGTTTTATTTACAAATTATTTTTAGTTTACAAATTTATTGTTTCGAAACGATGGAGCCTTGTAGATGTATACATGTAGGACCCACATGATTCAATGACAAATTTATGTGGCATGGTTCAAATTTTCCATATATTGTATACAGACCCCAAAAGAGCTACAGTACAAATGCTACCGCACATAATTCTGAGAGCACCTATGTGTTCCAATCTCATTCACCGCTGTTAATTATATCGGCTGCAATGATGATGGCATCAAACGAATTAGAATGCAGATGCCTCGTGGCCACTCAGACGAAGTAAATCTCTATTACGATTCACTAATTACTTAGAGAAGGGACTAAACAATGCAATTAGTCTTGAGTGGCATTGGAAAAAAAATATATAGCACCATGGATTTACCTAGATCGATCGGAAGGGGCATCACAACAACTCGATAGGAAGGGGGCATCATGATGATCGATGGCTCCTTTCCTGACAGTTAGCACCTAGCGAGTTGTACTCGTATTATTCAAGTGATGCACGGAGATTAATCGCAGCTCCTCTTTCCAATCTGTTGAGAGTCTCGGATCGATACAGAAACGTGATAAACTGCGGGCCTAGCTAAGACATAATTACGTGGATTGGAAATTTTTCTTTTACCTTAAAATTTCTATGATTTTTTTCTAATTTATTTATTAATTTCCTTAATATTAGGATGCCACGTGGTGGCATAGGAGCGTTGGTAGGAGTGCCACTTGGCGGCATAGGAGCGTTTGTAAGAAGTTTTATGTAATTTTAGTATATAATAGATTCATTTTTTTAATTTTTAAGTAATACTTAATTACTCAAGTGTTTTGATGTGCTTGTCAGAGGAGAAATGTTCCCAACATGCACCTTCAAACACAGACTACTGTCCGATTGTAACGGAAAGTGTTATGAACTGAAAGAATATCCGCTCATCTTATGTATACCATCTCAATAGTTAAAAAAAATAAAAATTTGGTAGGACATATTAATACACAATATATAACTCCACAAACATGCATGCAAATTCAAATACGATTTCAGTAAGTTGTAGCAAAAAAATATATATATAACTGTGAATATGTATACATACTCGTCAGAATTTAATTTGACTTTTTTTAATTAAAACTTATAGAACTCATATTTGAACTTACATATATTTTTAAAAATTACACAGTACAACGCAGACACTCACAATGCACGCACACTCACTCATATGAACGCAAGCACGCAAACCCTACTCCTATGAGTATTTTCGAAGACTGGACCGGCAAATTATGGAGATTGACAAAATCACCACAGGTGTCTCGTTGTCGCCTACCACTAAAAGCACAAAGCCGTTAAATCCTGAAAAAATCGCTCCCATAGAGAGTCGAACTCAATCTTTTCAAATATTTATTATTTTTTAGAATTATTTAGATTCCCCGTTAACCTTCTTTTCTCACCGGAGAACATAGTGATGAGCTTGAGGCTTTCATGGCGGCAAACACCGTCATTAACAAAACCAAAGGTCCAAGACCATGCGCATAACGCCTTCACATCGTGCCATTACGGCGCAACGGCGTCTAAACAAAACTTAAGATGATTCAGAATCGTATTGTCATCTTCCAGATTGTCTAGAAGCATTTCATCGCTACTCGTTATGAATCTCATTCTCCCTTTATTGCACAAAGGAAGCAGTATATGTACTTTATATCAACCATATGCCTCTGCAATATTGCACACTTACAAAGCCAGAGGCAGCAGCAGCAGCAGAAATGGCAGTACGGCACAGCCAACCTGACGACGGCTCGATGCACCCGCACCGGCGGCGACGATTCACTGCCCTCTGCTGATCTGGCAGGCCTGCCTGAGAGGCACCGGCGGGTCGGAGAGCTTGCCGCCGGCGATCTGGTCGAACACGAACTTGTTCGCCGCCTCGGTGAAGTGCACGCCGTCCCAGCTCACCCGCTTCAGCGGGTCGTCGCACGACTTCCCCGCCACCACCCACGTCCCGTTCACCTTCACCTTCCCGCCGCACCCGACCCTGTCGTCGAAGTTGTACCTCCCGCCGCCGTAGCCGCAGCACGTCAGCATCGGGTCATCCATCCCTGCAGCCACAACACAACACATCACGCCAATGGCACGGGGGGGATTGCACGAGCTCGCTAGGCACAACTAGCTAAGCTTTACCGAGCTTCTTGGCGTCGCTGATCAGCTTGTACTTGGCGGAGTAGACGTCGACGTAGGTGAACGCGGCGTCGGCGTGGGTCTTCCGGAGGTGGCCCACGGTTTCCTTCAGCCTCTGGTTGAAGAGCTGGGCGACCTCGTTGTAGGCGACGGAGCAGCCGGACCCGTCCTTGACGACGGCGAGGTCGGGGCGGTGCACCATGGCGTAAGGCAGGCAGCCGATCGGCCCCGTGTTGTGAATCCAGAAGTACCTTCCTCCGAGACCGTACACATTCTGCAGGTTACCAATCAGCTCATGTATATGGGTGTGTTTAGTTACAAAGTTTTTTTTTCCAAACTTCCAACTTTGCATCACATTAAACCTTTCATACGCACATAACTTTTCAGTCACACCGTCTCCAATTTCAACCAAATTCTAAACTTTGGGCCAATCTAAACACAATCATATGTGTAGAGTTCCATATTTCAGTTCGAAATTTTCTTTTTGGCAACTTCGGTCCCCCGATAGGAAACTATTTTAGAAAAATATTCAAATTATTTCAGACTAGAATATTCTGAAATTTCTGCAATTTCAAAAAATTAGGATCGATCGGTACCCCTGTTTTTTTTTCTTTCTGCAATATAGAACCCTGCATGTATGTGCTACACTACTGCTGTTATTAGCGGAGAAGAATAATTTGGTGTTCTTTTGAGTTTTGAAGAAAATAGTAGGAGTATTGTACAATCTCTGTACCTGGATTATGTTCGTGAGCCTTTCCATTAGATCAGGGATGTAAGCTATGACTTGTTCAGAGGTCATGTTTATGAAGAAGCCTGTGGTAATGTCATTCTGGCCGATATCGAATGTGTAGAGCGCCTGAGAGAAGTATTCAGCCTTGGGTAGGAGCTCCCTGTAGATTCCACCTATGTGAAGAAATGGAGCGAAACAGAACGTGATTGTTGGGTTCAACGTGGTACTGAATTACTGACAGAAATGGATTTTTTGGTTTTCTTGTCACCTTTGTTGTTATAGACGAACTGGCTTCTGTTGATGAACTGTTCAAACTCCCAGGACTGCACGTCCAAGGAAATGGGGCTGAAACCAGAGAGGAACAAAGATGTGTTCTGCCTTCTGATTGACGACCCGGCCGTTGCAAAGTTAGCACCTTGTGTGAAGTTACTTCCTATCGAGTTGAGGTACGCACTGAGGTAAGGCAGTCCCAGGCTTTCAGCTGCAGCATCAGAGAGCAAGAGTGTGTGTTTACACAGTAAGAATCTGCATTTGATCGTTCAAATAGCAGTAATCTCGTTGCATTTGATGATTTCCGAAGAGTGTGAGTTGAAGCCTGAAGCTTTTACAACCAGCACCAAAGCTATAGCACGGACTGCCATGCATCACAAAGTTAAGGTACATGGCGAATGGTTCAAATAAGTTTCACATGCGTCTCTGTCAGTGGTGTTGGTGACGACAAGAACCCGAGTTCAGAGCCATGTGCAAATGGTTACTACTCCAGTTCATGGTTTCTACTGCTGTGTACTACTCAACTATTCTTGCGGTCCTCTCCCAATTAGCCAGGACAACTTTATGCTAATGCCACCACTTTATACCAGAATGCTTCAACTGCAATCAGAATTTATAAAGCAAAACTTCCACAATCTGCAGCGAATATTGCATAGCATGGCATATATGATAAGCTCATGGCTGTTTTGTCTCCCAGTTTTTCTGGCCAGCGACCACTAAAACTTTCTAAAAGACCCCTTAGGGCCACCAAACTACTATCTTAAGGTAATGTTTCTTTCTGTCTCTCGTATCAAAAGCTAAATAAAGGAGGAGTATCTGATATATTCCCCAGCTGCAATGCAACATCCTCTCTACAAAATCTCCCCGCGAGGATCGCATGGCTGATAGCAGTGGCGTGACCGTATCTAGAGATGCTTTGCCGCGAGTTACTGGCCGGCCTTTCGTCGGATTGTGGGGAATATATCGAGATCGTGTCGGCGCTCGGCAGCAACTTGTTGCAGTAACAATAATACCGTGTAATCGATGCCATCGTTGGCACGGACACACGGGCCGCTCGTCAATAATTATGGCCATGGTTGGGTTGGTTCTTTTTTTTTAGAACTGTTGGGTTGGGTCTTGGCTGGTTGTAGCCAGCTTGCCGGATATCACAGCACTAGCAATCAATCAGTACGTGAAAATGGTAGACCTTCTCTTTCTTTTGCGGACATTTGTTCTAAAGCAATCGAGCAACCTGTTCAGACGTTCGTTTTTACTTTTAATTTGGGCTTAACCATTGCGAGACACTAAAACACTCGAGCAGCAAACGCTGAAACATCTCGTGTCTGCAACCTACACATGGAACGAATTAAAGCTGATATTTATTGGTTCAGAGTGGGAGTAGGTTTCAGTTCGATCAAGTATATGCAGTCAAGGCTCAAGGGCCCTACGTGCAGTCGTGCGGAAGAAGAGGCAGTGAAAAGTTGATAATAGAAAGAACGAGAGAAGGTTAATTAGCTGATTAAGACGTGCAGGGGAAAGAAAAAGACTCTGGTTGCAGTGATTCAGAGACGTACGTACCGATGAAGTCGATGACGAGGCGGCCGTCGCAGTAGCGGCCGACGGGCATGCCGAAGAAGGTCCTGCCGTTGGGCGGCGGCGCGGCGCCGAAGGTGGCCGACAGCCCGCCCGTGTCGGAGTTGGAGTCGCCGAAGTTGAACACGGCCGGGAAGCGGCAGTCCGCGCCGGCGGCCACTGAGACCTGCGACACCAGCACCAGCACGGCGACGGTCGCCACCACCACCGCGGCTGCGTACGGAGGAGGCGCCATTACCCCCCCACCACGCCTCGTTCGCGCGCGCGGGGCACTGCGAGCGAGAGCGACGACGAGCAGAGCAGCGTGGGCGGAAGACGAGGCGGAGCTTAGCAGCAGTGGCGTTGGCGTGGCAGTGGGCGGAAATGGCGAATGGAGATGGATGGTTGTGGATCTGCGGATAGAGATAGGCGGGAGGCGGGACCGCGCGCGTGCGGGAGAGAACGGTGGGAGACCCCAAACGCGACGCGGTGCCGTGGACGACAGCGATGGGAGGGGGAGGGCGCGGTGGGATGGCCGGATGGGTCACACTGACTGACGAGATGGCCGTGGTGTGGTATGGTGTGGTGTGGTGGTGCGCGGGCGTGGGCGCGGGTCGCGAGCGATGGTGGAGTGGAGCACAGCGCACGGTGTGCCGGCCCGGTGGCGCGGCGCACGGGACGTTGGATTTTTGTTGCTGTGGGTTCGTGGGAGCCGCGTCCATGACGCCGCGCTGCCTCGTCGCGCGCGCCCGGTGGTGGATTCGCGTCGCGTCGCGCCGCACCGCACGCGACCACGAGCCGTAACGGAGATTTTTCTTTGCTCTACGTGACGCTTTGGAGGCGGCGGTGGAGTGGCGATCGGCCTATGTTACATACATACGCGATCTAGGCAAAGCGTGAACCGGGCGCGCGTGTACATCAATGACGGTACGTGAAGTAGAAAGCAGGGAAGCATGGCCCACGTGGAGGGAACAGATGGGTTTGTTTTGCTAGAGTGGAGCACATCATTGGGCTCAAATAGTAGTGTGATGTATGCCTGTATGAGCCTTATCTCTCGGTCACTTGGTGTCTGGATAGTGGGTGGAATAAGTTCACCAGAGATCCCTCAACTTAATATTGAGATTTTTTGAGGTCCCTTAACCATAAAACCAGAAATATATACCCCTAAACTCACTCAAACTGTTCAAAGGAGGTCCCATGACAGTATCGACTACCCGGTTTTGCTGACATGGCATCCTAGTCAGCAAAAAATAAAAAATAAATATGTGGGACCCACATGTAAGTGAGAAAAAACGTGGGGTCAACAATCCTAGTCAGCAATCTCCTTCTCTTTTTCTTTTTTCTCTTCTTCTCTTTCAGTAGCGGTGCGCGGTCGGAGGTAGGCGGAGCGGCAGCAGCAGGCGAGCGGTGGCTCCGGGCTCGGGAGGTGGACGCATACCGCTCTCAACACTGATCCGGTCAAATCCAGAAGCGGATGCAGCTTCCGCCGGTGATGCCGATGTGAAGCCATCATCATTCTCCGGCGATTTGGGGTTCCCCTCACCATTCACCATGGTGGTGATCATGCTCTCCCTTATGATAGAGGCGTCATCATCACATCCCCTATCGACGTCACATCCTTCTGCGATCGCACCGCTCTCCGGCTTGCCGTCCTCATCTGCGTCGGAATTGATGCGGCTTGACGACGGAGTGGAGGTAATGGAGCGTGGCGGCCACGTCGCGAGCGACGGCAAGGCAGCGGGGCCACTCCACCACGAGCTCCGAGCAGCGCCACCCCAGCAGCGCGTCCTGCAGCGACCCATTGGGTATGCGGTCGTACGCTAGCATCATCCGCCGCGGCCGCCCCTCGCCCCGCGCCGCGGACGACATCGAGTACGTGAACGGAAGCAGTATGGAGTCCCGCCCCTTCCCACCCGGCTTGGCGGCGGCGGCGGGGACAGGAGGAGATCCCGGTGCGGAGGACAACGCGAGAAGGTGGGACGCGACGGCGAACTCGTTGTGGAACTCCCGCTCCCCCTGCAGCGAACCAGCGGCATCCCAGCAACCCAATCCAACGGGACGCACCGGTTGCTTCTTGAGCAGTTACCCAAAGAGGAGGACCTGCTCGACCGTCGTTTCGTGCTACGGGAGGCCCGCCTCGATGGCGCTTGCAAGGAGATTGTGTTCCTCTAATGCATCTTATTAGCCTTCCATGCGCACCCATCCTCGTCCTCTTCCACTCCGCGGTCACGTATTGTGAGGCGACGATGTGCCGACGCTCCTAGATCCCATGCCTCGTGTCACTAGTCTCGTTGTTGGTCATGCTTTGGGTGTTGCGGTACAAGGAGATCGAGATAGAGGGTCTCTCCACCAAATTGATGGGCCGGTGGCCGGTTCCCTCACCATCAGCATCCGCCTCCTCCTAATCTCAGCCTCCCGGTCCTATCCCCTACCGTGAAGCTTATGGTGTTGATGCTTCGCTGCTTGCTGCCTCATATCCCCTCTCTCCCCATGCCATGGTGGCAATCGAGGAGGCCATAGGGGGAGTGAGGAGGCCCAGGTGAGAAGCTCCTCGTCGCCTTGCCGACCACCGCTTTCACCTTCCTGTCGAGGAGCTAGTAAGCTCGAGCTCATCGGCCACTACTATTGATGATGTCCATGTTGAGATAAATAGGAAAAGTAGAGAAAGGGAAGAGATGGAAGAAGGGATGAATGTTCCACTGACACGTGGGGCTATTGTAATTTTTTTATTTATTTTGGTAGGAGTGCCACGTTGATGCCACATTAGCTAAAACCGGACATAATAATGTTTTGGGATCTCAAGTGCACCAGTATTGTAAGCTGAGACAAACACTATATCTGGTATAATACGGTTCAAGGATGCAATTTAAACTCGACATAAAAATGAGGGATAAGAAGTGAATTTATTCCGCATGTATTTGTATATGGACCAAAATTTTGGCCCATTAAAACGTGGCCTCATGAGGCATACGAGCGACGTGGATACACATGGCAATCTCCAGCTTTACTGTGGTGGATCGCTCTCTTGGTTAGTAGATTTGAAATGTCCAGAAAAAAAAATTACTAGTGCGAATGCGATTTTAGAGCATCGGATCAAAACGGCTATGCGTTATTTGGGTGGACATCTGCACCGCGATTTCCGCAACGGCCGCCTCCTCCTTCTCCGCCTCCACCCTCTACTGCTTCGCTAGTAGCTTCTCTGTCTGAGGATCTGCAAGAAGCTATCAGCAACCGCGCTGGTAGGGAGATCATGATTGTGATCTGCGGTCTTACCAAGTTACAAGATGTTGCGAAGGTCTAGAGGATGCTGCATGAGAAGATAAGAGAAGATAGATGGGTTGGACAGTAGAGGACACAAATATCAAAGTCCTCGATGATGCAACAGATCGATGTCTGAGTCTTATGGTTTTAGGTCGTTCATTCAGTTATGTGATGTTCCAATCGAATCAAGGAAGGTACTGGAACTACATGTGTTTGGCAAGTTGCGAAGAGAGAGTAAGGTGCCTGGACTATGGGAATTGGTTGGTGTAGATGAGGCCATGGCCATCGCAATGGAGGGTCAGTCCATTCTCAGAGAATTGGATCTATCGGATGAACAACCATTGGATTCTGACAATGATTGGGGGGGTGTCTGAAGAAGCACCTGATGATTATGACAGCCTGAGTGAGGATGCACCTGATGATTATGACAGCCCGAGTGAGGATGCACCTGATGGTTACGACAGCCTGAGTGAGGATGCAGCGAATGGTTACGACAGCCTGAGTGACGATGCACCTGATGGTTACGACAATCCGAGTGAAAGATGCACCTTATGGTTACGACAACCTGAGTGAAGAAGTAATCAAGGATGTGCAAGTTGAGCCGGCATTTGTATCCAAGGCTTTGACCTCATTAGAAGAAGCGGTCCTTATGAAGAGCAGAATCAACAACCTGAAAGAGCTTATCCAGAAAATGATCAATGGACCCATTCGTTTTCCACAAAAAAGTTAGGAAGCAATCCACATGATGAACATAATGGAATCAACAATATGAAAGATCCCATTCCCCTCTCTCTCGATCAATAGAATAAACAATATGAAAGACCCCCCTCTCGATGAGCAGCAATATGAAATATCCCCTTTTTGATAAACAGAACATAATCAACAATCTGAAAGATCCCATCCCCACTCCCTCTTGATGAATGGAATCAACAATCTGAAAGACCCCCCCCTCACGATGAGTAGCAATATGAAAGATCCCCTCCTTGATGAACATGACATAATTAACAATCTGAAAGATCCCCCTTACAGAATCAACAATTTAAGAAAAATAAAACTGTAACGATTTGTTATTTTCACCTTTACACTTCTTACATTTTATAACCTTTTTTTTTGACTATGAGACTGACCTTGCTCAATTGCAATGATGATGCAATGATATGAGATGTAGTAGCATAAATAAAAGAAATGTTATCTAGGATACAATGCTCTGGAGTGGATATATTGCAAGGATATCTTCAAACCAATTGTAAGAAATATTGTACATGATAGCTCAAGGGGATACAATGTTTGTCTTGTCGACCCCGATTTTGGAAATCGGAGATCTTCTGTGTTTATCAGTACCAATCTCTGGATCAGAAGTTGGTACACACATACATAGTTGAATCACAACACATCACGAATGCTTTTTTTTTGATAACAAAGAGGCAGAAGCCTCAGATTTACCAAGGAAGAACTGGGTGAACAACCAGTTTTACATAAAAGCCCCTAAAGATGGGCAAATTACACTGGAGGATACACTTATGCAGTGAAGGACAAAATAAAGTTTGAAAAAAGCCATCAGGTCCTGCACAACAAACTGCTCACAACAGAGATGAAGAAGACGATGCTCCAGGCAACGGCGGGTACTGAGCGCTCACGATAGGTTGCAGAAGATTGAACCATGGCATAAACCCAGTTGGGGCCTCACAAAGGAGGTTAAAGCCTTGGTTTTTCACATACAAATACAACCATATCTTAAATGCTTATATTAGGGCCAGCCATGCCAACAACTATCAGAGAACAACAGCGGAAGATAAAATAATACAAGTGCCCAATTACCATGCCACAAGCAGTCGACTGGGAACAAGACCTAGAACGGAATTACACTACGATCATCTTGTTAGGTATGCAAGCGCACTGACAAGGGTTTCTCTTCAAGCACTATGCTATATATATATATATATATATATATATATATATATATATATATATATATATATATATATATAGTAACATTGAGTACAAAAGTACTCAGCAATTCACCACACAAAATGCAACAATGTACAAGATAATACAAGGAGTGGCTATGGTTATTTTGCATAAAGCTAAGTTCACAAATATCATTTCACAAACCTAAAACTTAGCATTGACTACTCATTCAGTTTCACATGGGTTATAAGGAAACACAACGTCGTCTTCTTGCAGTTACCACTTGCTAACTGATGTGTTTGACATTGTGCTTCTATTTCGACATATAGATGACCTTTTGTTGTCTTCTCCAGGGTGATATATGTGGTCATTACATTACTTATCAGATTAGTTAGGTTCAGTTTAATGGTAACATGTCGTGTTTATGTATCTCTTTAGTACTCCCTCCGTTTCGAAATATAAGAAGTTTTAGGGTTGGACACAGTT